GTTCAGGGGCACCTGGGTGGCTCAGTAGGTTAAGCATCTGCCTTCAGCTTGAGTCATGATCCCAGGGTTCTGGCATCAAGTCCCAGCGTTTGGGCTCTCTGCTCAGCGGGGAGCCTGCTTCTCCCTCACCTCCCCGCTCATGCTCTCTCTTGCTATCTCTGTCTCTCTCAAATAAATAAATAAAAACTTAAAAAAAAAAAAAAAGCAAATGTTTAAGTAGATCACAGAAATGAAGGCACTTGGTAGGAGCACAAGGTGTAGAATATGCACTAACCAAGGTTAACAGACACAGTGGGTAGGAATGAGAACAGCAGTCTGCAGCCAGCCCACCCTACAGACAAGATCAGTCTCGTCTGATCGCAGAAGCTAGGCAGGGTTGGATGTGGTTAGTACTTGGATGGAAAAATGAGAAAGCAAACAAAACAAAACAAAAAGAATTGGAGAGAAAATGAGATATAGATGACAGGTAAAGCCATTTCGACCTAACAGTTTAGTCTCTGAATAATAAAGCTAAAAGAGTGGAACACAAATATTTAGAGATACAATTCAGGAAAACTCTTCAGAAGTAACAGAAGAGTTAAATTTAAATATTGAAGGAGCACCCCTTATATCTGGGGAAAAGGACCCAGAATGATTAATAGGGGGGTATATCTTCACAAAGTCATTGGACTTTAAGATCAAGAGAGATTGTGTGGATGGCCATGCCAAAAAACCACGTCACTTATAAGGGGGGGAAATAAAGGGTTTGCCTCAGACTTTGCAGATCTCAATGCCAGAAAGTAATAAATCAATGTGTTCATTTTCCTGCCTTCACTCAAAGAAGGAAAATGAGAGCCAAGATTTTATGTTTAGTCAAGCTGTCTGTCAAATACAAAGACTACCGAAAGAAGTTGTGAGCTGCGTAGTTTTCATGAGCCCTGAAGGAACTGCTAAAGGATGAACCTAAACAAACAAAAGATAAAAGTGAGGATTGGAATGAAAGAAAAAGTTTGTACTCTGCTAACAAACATTGGGAAACGAAAAGGGAGAGAAAGTAGGATACAGAGTGGTTTCCTCATGTGTGATAAAATATTAAAGGACGATATCCTAAACTGACAAATCAAGAAGTGGAAATATAAGCATATTTCACAAAATGAAGGTATTTTTGCAAATTTTAAAATTGTAGCAATGCTCTTCAGTAAAGGACTGGTTCAATAAATTATGGTTCATCCATATTATGGAATACTTTACAACCTCATGAAAGAATGAGGAAGGTCTCTGTGTACTGGTAGGGAAGGAGCTCCAAGAAAAATTAAAAAGCAAGGGTGCAGAACATACAATGGAATATGCTACCATTTATGTAAAAGTAGAAAAATAGTATATAATGATTTCATATATTTGACCAAACTCAGGAAGGATACACAGGAAACTTTAAGAAAAAGATTATCATTTTGGGGGAGGGCTTAGGAAGTAGCTGGATGGATGACTGGGTAGGGTTAGGTTTTTCACTGTGTTCTTTTCTACGTTTAGCCTTCCCTCACTCCGTCCCTCCTCCTCCTCCCCTCCTCCTCGCTTTCTTTCCCTGGTTCTCTTCTTCCCATCTTGCTTCCTTTTCATTTTTCAGACATGTGAACACATGACATATTCAATAACTAGCCTAATAGAAAAATCAAATGTTCTCTTCCCCCCTCCCCCAAATTCTGGCTGTACATGAAGTCTTAGGCAAAGCTTTGGGGTAGTTTTAGTTGCGGTCTCTGTAGGGTCTTATGGGATTTTCAGTCTTCCACAATGTAATCTTCTTAAGTAATCTTCCCCAGGCCTTCTAGGTGAAGAAAACACTTTTCTCTGGATGATTTGCTGTTTCATCTGGATAGGTTCTCCCCTTTCTTAGGTTGTCTGTGAAATAATCAGTACTTGTTAAGGCTGGTTCTGTCGTTAAATGAAGCTCCGTTTCTGGTGCTTTGTGTAGGTTATTTATGGGATTAGTCTTGCTGGATGGTGCTAGGCTCCTGTGAGCATTTCCCCTTGAGTCAGTCTAATATTCGTTCTCAACTTTATATGGTCAAACCAGAACTCTGGATAATGTGTACCAATTTCAGGACTCTGCGAAACAGGAAGACGTGAATTATGTTTAGTTTTTGCTTTGTTTTGTTTTGTTTCAGTTAAGGAAAATGAGATACCAGGAGGTTGTGTCTCGTCAGAAATTACCCAGAAAATGGGAGTAAAGCAGGCGGGTACAGCTGTGATTTTGTGAATAGGGCTCTGGCCTCCAGACTGCCAGATGTCTTAACCATTGACAGTGTGAATCCTGCTACGTTGATAGGAGGCCTTAGCACAGTGCACTGAGTTATTGGGGTTTTCCCCTCAAATGAGGCTCATTTATTTTCTGGTCCTTGTGCAGCTGTCCTCCCAAAGAGATTCTCACATTTATCCCTGGGGTGCATGAGTTTGGCTATAGAATTTGAAAGTAGCGATGCCCCTGCTGTCAGTGTATACATGCATGCACACACGTGCTCCCTGTGATGCACTGCACTTGCCGACGATAGAACTGTTGCCTTTTGTGTGTGATGTCAGATAAGTTGAAGGGAATGCTCAGGAAGTCATGCTCATGACCTTGAACTCTTTAGGTTACTTTTCCACAGTGGATAGAATACATGTATTCTGTGGCATTTTCTAGAATTTTCTAAATGCTTTGGCTCTCACAGATTAATTGTGTTGCATTTCTACTTCAGTTTCTAAGGCTATATTTGTAAAATGGGGGTGATAATCTTGTCATCTTCATTTTATTGTTCTGATTACTGAATGGGATAGTGTATGCACTTTTGTAAAACTGTAGGGTACCTCATGAAAACAGAGATGGTAGTGCTAGTATCTTATTAATTAGATCTCATCTGCTCCCCATATATTCGTACCATTCAACTCTGTCCCTTCCAGATTCACTCTTTTCTAAGAATAGCACTAGAAGGATCATATTAGGCATAAATTCTTGTACATTAGCTTCCCCCCCCCTGTGTTTTTTTTCTGCATGCTTTCATCTAAGTAGAGACAATTTTGAACAATTTTATACACAAATTTTTTACAATTAATAAATAATACTGTAAAGATTTTAACAAAAACGTAGGAGTCATAGTGTGGACATAGGCTTTATAAGCAAACAGTTCAGTGTTTTAAAATCCCCTTGCATCCTATATTGGCTGTGTGACCTTGGGCAAGTTACTTAATCTCTTGTAGATTCAGTGTTTTCATGTATAAAGTGAAGGATAATATTTATCTTTTGAGATTGTTAAGGACTAAATGAGGAACTTTTTGCAAAGCACTTGGGAACATTGTTTTCACAGAACTTAGTCTACCCTCATTTCCTCAGACTTGCTAATTCTAGTTCAAACATTATCACTTGATATTAATAGTTTTACCATTTTGGTTCCAGTCCTTTTCATGTAAGTTACATTGATAAAGATCAGAAATTTGACTCTACAGTTGTTCTAGATACTTCCTATTTTAGATTCACTGGAGTGAAAAATGAGTACATTAGGAAAATTGTACATAACCATGTACATTATTTCTGGCTTATGTGAATATATGGGAATCTGAAAACTCATCAGGTATTTCAAAAATAGGATGCATTTATTCAGTATATTTTTCACCTATCTACCTGATGCTGTTATTAGGCTTTGGAATAAAGAGATGGGAAAAAAGGTAGTTCTTGCCTACATCGGAGGTCGTCATTTATTAAAGGAGACAGGTAAATAAGCAGTTATAATCCAGTATCAGAAGTAGTCTGATGGAGGTGTGCACAGGAGCTTTGAGAACCCAGGGCGGGGAGGTACTTCCCATTTCTCCAACATGGGGAGTGTGTGTGCAGGTGTCCAGGTTTGCCTCCCAGGAAAGGTGACACCTGAGTCAAATCTGGAGAGAGCTAGAACCTGGAGCATGAAGCCTTTTTTTCCAAACTAAGGAGATGGAGTCCATTTTAAGATGATGAGGAGCCAGTGGATACTTTTATTGAGAGCAACACGAACAGACGGGGAACTCAGGATAATTACCTTGAAGCATACTTCGAGCAGTGGCTTCAGCATCAATTTTATCATCATCTACATTGCAACCGTTTACTTAACTCATGTATACATTATCTCATTTAATCCAGCAGATATTCTTGCCATTATTTTATAGATAGGAAGACAAAGTACTAGAGGCCAATAGTGGAGTTACTGACTGGACACACGAGGGAGAATATGTTTGATTATCTGCCATTCTACATGGTGATTTTAAGCTACTCGAGGTTAAGATGAGAGGTGTAGAGTTGTTGATCCTTAGTCTCCATTTTCATATGTTTTATATTATGAGCATTTCACTGAATTTAGTTTGGTTCTAGAGTTTAAAGATAACGTGTGTTCCCTGGGAGATGGCTTTTAACCCAAGTCCATTACTTCGTCTGGTACTTAAGGAAATTTTGGTTTGTTCTAAAACTAGAGAAAAAAAAAAAAAAGGTTGTGTTAGACTTGCTCCTTTCTAGAGCTTTTCTATCTTACAGGATTTTTGTCCCTATCCTGTAGAACTCTTACAGAATAGAAATTAGTTAATTCTCCAGCCCATCTCCTTTTCCTCTCAGTAAAATTATCTTAGTATTTGAAATGATATCTCATTAGTATTAAACTTGGGACCTGGCTCCTCACTATGAAGGATAGTTTGAAACTAGGTTTTGTCTTTCTGTTCCATAATGTTTATACAGCATATTCAAGCAATAGAATGAGAGGTGATAATGCTTCAGAGTTTAAAAAAAAAAAAAAAACTGATTATTAATCCAGCCACACTTTTCATTAGCTTTCTAACTGCTGTCAAAATTGACCATTTACCCCTTCGTTCCTAGTTCTTTAGTTGAAAATACAAATAAAGTATTTCTTCTCTCCTAGAAATGTGGTATGATTTATTTTTATTTGTGTATAACTAGAAAGGGGTAATACAAAGATAGTGTATGCACAATTTTGACTTGCTACACTCACCTTTTACTTCTTTTATTTCAGCTCAATCTGAAATTGAAGTTTCTGTGTCTGCAAGGAATATCAGAAGGTTACTAAGTTTCCAGCGGTATCTTAGATCTTCACGCTTTTTTCGTGGTACTACTGTTTCAAATTCTCTAAACATTTTAGATGATGATTATAATGGACAAGCCAAGGTGTGTATTGCTTTTTCAAGAAAACATTAATCTTTGATAAGTTTAATGAAGCCTTTTTCCCCCATGTGGTATTGAATTATTAAAAACTTTCTTAGTGGGGCGCCTGGGTGGCTCAGTCGTTAAGTGTCTGCCTTCAGCTCAGGTCATGATCCCAGGGTCCTGGGATCGAGTCCCGCATCGGGCTCCCTGCTCGGTGGGAAGCCTGCTTCTCCCTCTCCCACTCCCCCTGCTTGTGTTCCCTCTCTCGCTATGTCTCTCTCTGTCAAATAAATAAATAAAATCTTTAAAAAAAAAAAAAAAAAGAACCTTTCTTTGTATGCGAAAATCAGTTAAGCCCATTCTTCAGGTTTTTCCTTTAGAGCGCATGTTCATTTTATAAGTAGGGAAATTTCTGAAGTTAACTAAAATAGTGAAAATGTTTTCATTTATTATAACATTAAGTAACAAGTAGATCAGTAGAACATTAAACTATAAGATCACACAGACTCTTAACTCTGGGAAGAATATTATAGCTGTTCTGGTCTAATTTCTGTGTTCTGTAGGTAAGGAATCAATGGCCTGAAGAGCATCAGAGACTTGTTTGAGGTCACCTCCTGGGTAGAGGTACACCCAGCACAGGACGTTAGGCCTCATGACTTTCAGTCAAATGATTTTTCATAGTCCCTTCCATCACTGAGTTATTTTGAGGATTTATATGTTTTCTTTTCTTTTTTCTTTTTTTATCTTATTCCTATTTTATTTTATTTTTTTATGAAGAAAACTATTTTTTTCTTATGTTCAATTATCCAGCATATAGTACATCATTAGTTTTTGATGTAGTGTTCAACAATTCATTAGTTGCATGTAACACCCAGTGCTCATCTCCACACGTGCCCTCCTTAATACCTATCGCCCGGTTACCCCATCCCCTACCCCTCCTCCCTTGTAACCCTCAGTTTGGTTCCCAGAGTCCAGAGTCTCTCATGATTTGTTTCCCTCTCTGATTTCTTCCCATTCAGTTTTCCCTCCCTTCCCCTGTGGTCTTCCGTGCTATTCCTTACGTTTTCTAATTAAACCCAGTGATTGTGAGCATTATTTTCTATTTATATAGTTTAAAAGAAATGTCTTAATGAAGGTAGAGCTCAGATGAGCTTGTTTTTGACCAAATGAGTGTTTTAAATAATCTTGTTTCTAGTATTTTTAAAATTATTTTTTGACTTAATATTTACAGGCCAGATTTTGTAAGTGTGTGTACATAGGGCGAAGCACCTTCTTTACGATTACATTAAAGTGAAAAAAAACTGCTTCCCGGTTTGATGAAAGAACACCTTAATAGAAGGTGTTCATGCTTTCTTTAAATTTTAAAAAGTTTACATGTTATGCTTTTAAAAATGAGAATATTGATCTGTGTATGATTAGTTGTGAATACTATCATAAGTAATAGTATTATTTATGTCAATTTATTGATAAATGTATACAACAGTGAACTTTCCACAAAAGTTTCAGGTTACAAATATATGGTTTAAAAATACAATCAGTTTCATTTTGGGGTTGTGGGACTTATTTGCTCAACTGAAATACACATCAACTTAAAAATAAATGTAATAAATGCTGTTACTTATTATATAAAGAATATAAATAAATGGCTGCAAGTTGGGAGTGTTTTTTAAGAAAATGAATAACAAATAATTTAAGCATAGTGTAGTATAGCTGTCAAGTGCCTCGTTTCCAGAGTCAGACCACCTGATTTTAGATCCCAGCTCTGTTACTTTTTAGCTGCTCAAGTTAGTTACGTTTAGCCTGTTTCCCCATCTGTAAATGAGGATTGAAAACAATGCCTACTTCATAGTGTTGATATGAATAGTAAGAGTGAACTAGCACTTTTAACAGTATGGAATATAGTAAGTACTCAGCTATTATAACTCATTTTTACGAGACTTTTAAAATCTAGTTTCTAGACCATGCAGTGTATGAACCACACTTCCATGGTATTAAATTATATTAGAATTCTTGAAAAGTTCATGGGAGTATAGCAGTGAATTGAAAGAAACATTAATCTTACCTGTACATTCATTAATTGGAAAGCAAAATAATATTTGGTTTTCCAAATGGAGCTTACGTTTTGGATACATTTTTGGAGTCGGCTGGAAAGGTCACGATTAAAAAGAATGGTACTTAGCATTTCTTAGATCACTTTTCATTTTTACTCACTTCTCTATGGGCTATCTACAAAAGACAGACTGTTACTGAAATGAAATTACAGTAAGAATGTTTGGTTTTCATTTCAGTGTATGCTGGAAAAAGTTGGAAGTTGGAATTTTGATATCTTTCTATTTGATAGACTAACAAATGGTAAGTGAAGAATTTGACTTACTCACATTAATGTGTACTCTAGATTCTGCATTGATGGTACAGCCCCTGGTGGGTTGTTGCTTTCATTCCTTTAGGTTGTGAGCCCTCTGCTGGCAGAACACCATTTTGTCCCTTCTTTGGTGACTGATCTAGAAGCCCAGAGAATCACTCTCATCATTTTATTTTTTCATTACTCTTAGCAGTGATCAAAAGTTATAATCCTCACCCTAGCTAATGCTGCTATTATGAATAACCCAAAGTGAAATTGTTACCTAGTTCTTTATTTTTCTGTTTTGGTTTCTTTTGGATTGTGGCTATTTACAGTGCCATCTTCTGATACTGTATTCCAGTTTTGATAGCCACGGATATGTGGTAGATTAATGACATTTTGAGAGATATCCTTTCTTCCAACTTTGTGGTTCTCAGGCTTTTCTTTCTCTGAACACTTGAGAGAGAGGACATATTCTAATCAGTGGTTCCTTCTGACACTGCTTCTCCATGGTTGGATGGGGATGAGCTAGTAGCTTCTTTAGGAGTCTTATCAGAATCTATAGAATATGAGTGGTTTGAAAACACCAGGTGATTCTAATCTGTTTACCCCCTCCTGTGTTTTGTTTTGTTTTGTTTTATTTTGTTTTGGGGTAGGGGTCATGTTTCCTTATTCTCTTTGGGAACAGGAAAAGGATTCCCTCTGGGAATCATTTTTATTTAGGATAAAATTTTTGGCATAAAAATGGTACATGTAGTTCAACTAGACTTTGTCCTTGTCTAAATATCTCTTTAATAAGTGAAGCAGAGTGGGCAGTACGTGGAGAGGAAGTCACTTCGGAGTGTTTAGAATGAAGTAATGAGGAAGTCACTTTGGAGTGTTTAGAATGAAGTAACAGCTAGGTAGTTCACTGCTGTATACTTTGAAATCACCATTCTTTTTCTTATTTTACTTTGGAATGAAGCTCATTTCATAAGGAAGCCAAATACAGAAAATGGACAAGCAGATACAACTTTATTCATCTTGAGAATCAATGAGGAACTAGCTTTTTGGAATTACTGTATGATTCCCCATAATCTGTGTGGCCCATGTAAGGTGAAAATAGCTTTATAATCACCTTCCATTTGTCTGTGTTCCATTGACAGAAAATAAATTCGACTGATTCTAGGCAAAATTGTAAAGACAATGAACTCTGCCTTATCAGCTTACCTCTCTCCTGCTACCCTGCCCTTTTGTTTTTGTTTTTTTCCTTTTCTGTTTCTCTTCCACCTCTCCTTTGCCCTTTGGTGACTGTTCTGTTCCTCTCCCTGCCCCCACTTTGGCATGTCCACACAGAAAATTTTCTAGTATCATTTACACAGTTGTCCTTCCCTTTTTAAAAAAAATGTGAAGTATCAGTTGACTCATCTAAGATCTGGGAAATTTCTTTTTTTCTAACTTAATGTGAATATTACTTTAGTTGTTACGTCAAAATAAATGTAAATAGAACAGTGCCACCTGTGAAACCATCTGGTCCTGGACTCGTTAGTTGGGGGTTTTTTGATTACTGATTCATTTCATTGTCAATAATTGGACTGTGCAGATTTTCTGTTTCTTTGTGATTCAGTCTTAGAAGATTACATGTGTCTAGGAATTTATCCATTTCTTCTAGTTTGTCCAGTTTGTTGGCATATGCTTGTTTTATTAGTCTTGTAAAATCTATATTGCTGTGGTGTCTGTTGATCTTCTCCTCTTTCATTTTTATAGTATTTACTTGAGTCCTTTCTCTTTTTTTTTCCTTGATGAGCCTGGCTAAAGGTTTATCAACTTTATTTATCATTTCAAAGAATCAGCTCTCAGGTTTATGAATGTTTTCTATTACTTTTTAAGTCCCATTTCATTTATTTCCACTCTGATCTTTATTATGTCCTTCCTTGTACTTTTTTTGGGCTTTGTTTTTGGGGCTTCGTTTTTTCCTCTTTTTCTCATTCCTTTAAGTGTAAGCTTAGATTGTTTCTTTGATATTTTGTCTTAGTGCTTTTGGTAGGCTTTATCACTATAAACTTCCCTTTCAGTACTGCTTTTGCTGTGTCTCTTATATTTTGGAACATTGTATTTTCATTTTCATTTGATTCAAGGTGTGTTTGAATTCCTCTTTGATTTTTTTCATTGACCCCTTGACTGTTTATTAGTGTGTTGTTTAGCCTCCACATGTTTGTGTTTTTTTCCAGTTTCTTTTTTTTTCTTGTAATCTAGTTTCATACTCTTGTGGTTGGACAAGATACTTGATATGATTTCAGTGTTCTTAAATTTATGGAGACTTATTTTGTGGCCTGACATGTGACCTATCCCGAGGAATACAGTGTTCCATGTTTACCTCAGAAGTGAATTCTGCTGTTTTTAGATGGAATGTTCTGTATATATATGATAAGTCCATCTGGTCTAAGGTGTCATTTAAGACCACTGTTTCCTTATTGATTTTCTGTCTGGATGACCTAGCTACTGATAATAAGTGGGGGGTATTAAAGTCCCCTACTAATATTGTATTACTGTTAATTTCTCCCTTTATGTCTGTTTATATTTGCTTTATATATAGGTGCTTCTATGTTGGGTGCATAGATATTTACTGTTTTTTTTATCCTCTTGTTGGATTGATCCCTTCATCATTATGTAATTCCCTTCTTGTCACTTGTTACAGTTTTTATTTTAAAGTCTGTTTTGTCTGATTCAAGTATTGTTACCCAAGCTTTTTTTCATTTCTATTTTCATGGAATATTTTTTCCATCCCTCGACTTCCAGTCTGTATATGTCTTTAGGTCTGAAATGAGCCTCTTGTAGGCTATATATAGATGGGTCTTGATTTGTTTATCCATTCAGTCACCCTGTTATTTGATTGGAACATTTGGTCCATTCACATTTGAAGTAATTGTTAATAGGTATGTATTTATTGCCATTTTGTTGTTTTCTGGTTGTTTTATAGTTCTCAGTTTTTCTTCTGTTGCTGTCTTCCCTTTGATTTGATTACTTTCATTAGTGTTGTGTTTTTATTCCTTTTTCTTTATATTCTGTGTATCTCTTAGAAGTTTTTGGTTCATCATTACCATGAGGTTCATATATTACACATCATGTATATAGCAGTCTATTTTAAGATGACAGTCACTTAAGTTTGAACACATTCTAAAAGGACTACATTTCTACTCCCCCCCCACAACATTTTGTATTTTGTGTCATATTGTATATATTTCCTAAGTAAATATTGTAGATACAGTTGATTTTACTACTTTTGATTTTTAACCTTAATATAAGCTTTATAAGTGGCAGGTCCACTACCTTTCCTATGTTTGCTTTTACTAGTAAGACTTTTTTCCTTCATAATTTTCTTCTATTTTTTGACCTTTTCTTTCTGCTCAAAGAAACCCCTTTAACATTTCTTATAAGGCCTGTTTAGTGGTGATGAACTTCTTTAACTTTTATTAAAACTTTAACTCTTTATCTCTCCCTCAGTTCTGAATGATGGCCTTGCTGGGTAGAGTATTCTTGATTGTAGGTTTTTTCCTTTCAGTACTTTGAATATATCATGCCACTCTCTTCTGGCCTGCAAAGTTTCTGCTGAAAAATCAGTTGGTAGTCTTATGGGGTTTCCTTTGTTCATAACTAGTTGCTATACTCTTGCTGTTTTTAAGATTCTTTCTTCATCTTTAATTTTTGACATTTTAATTATTTGTCTTGGTGTCGACTTCCTTGGGCTCATCTTGTTTGGGACTCTCTTTGCTTCCTGGACCTAGATGTCCATTTCCTTCCCCAAGTTAGGGAAGTTTTCAGCTATTATTTCTTCAAATAAGTTTTCTGCCCCTTCCCTTTCTGTTTTCTCCTTCTGGGGCTCCTATCATGTGAATATTAGTATGCTTGATGTTGTCCCAGAGGTCCCTGAGACCTTTCTCATTTTTAATTTTTTTTTCATTATTGCTGTTCAGTTTAGATGGTTTCTACTACCCTGAATTTCACATCACTGATCTGTTCTTTTGCATAATCTAATCTGCTATTGATTCCCTCACTGTATTTTTCACTTTAATGTATTCTTCAGCTCTGATGCATTCTTTTTTATATTTTCTATCTCTGTTGAGTTCATCCACTTTTCTCTCAAGTTTGGTGAGCATCTTTATGACCATTACTTTGAACTCTTCATGAGGTAGATTGCTTATTTCCATTTCATTTAGTATTTTTTTAAGGTTTTGTCTTGTTCTTTCATTTGAAACATGTTCCTCTGTCTCTTCCTTTCCCTGCCTCTCTATTTTTGTTTGTATATATCAAGTAGATCAGCTGTGTCTCCTGGTCTTGAACATGTGGCCTTATGTAGCAGGCATCCTGTGGGGCCCAGTAGCACAGTACGCCCTGGTCACTGTAACCAGGAGCTCCAAGGGTTTCCCCTGTGTGGGCTACATGTGCCTTCCTTTGTGGCTGGATCACGACTAATATGGGGGGCAGGGCTAGCCCCCAGTGTGGCTGGCTGTGACTGTTGTGGGCGCACTTGTAGACGGGCCTGCAACCCCTGCTAGGGCAGGTGCCACTTTGGTGGGGTGCCAGTCCCACTATGTGCAACAGGACGGGAGCCACTTTGGAGGGGTGTCTGCCAGGGTGGGTAGGTTGGACTGGACTGGTCCACAGGGAAACACCCGGTCAGGTGAGTAGCCCTAGCAAGGTAGATAGTGTCAGAACTGGTGCCCGCCAGCATCAGGCCAGCTAGACAGGAGGAGGGCAAGAAAAATGGTACCTTTCAGTGCTTCCATTCCTGGAGAAAGTTCCTACAGATCCCTGACCCTATTGCACAAGCCCTAAAATTAGTGAATTTCCTTAACTTACTGCCAAGTAGTCTTTAAACTCTTGCCTCTGTGCTAGTCTCAAACAAGGGAGTTTGTGTGCAGGCCCTTTAAGAGTGGAATCTTGGCTTCCCATAGTCCTCCAGCTCTCCTGGAATTAAGCTTTGCTGATTTTCAAAGCTTCTGGACCTAAGCCCTGCTGATTGTCAAAGCCAGATGTTATGGAGGGTTGTCTTCCTGGTGCAGATCCCCAGGGCAGTGGGTGCCTGATGTGGGGCTTGAACCCTTCACTTCTCAGGGAGGATCTCTATACCTATGATATTCCTCCTGCTTATGGGTCACCAAGCTGGGGGTGTAGGTTCTGACCAAACCACATCTCTGTTTCTCCTACCCTTCATGATGTGGCTTTTTCTTTATATCTTTAGCTGTGGAAGAGCTATTCTGCTAGTCTTCAGGTTGTTCTCAGAGACTTGCTCTATATGTACTTGCAGTTTTGGTGTATTCATTGCAAGAGGTGAGCTCAGGATCCTGCTACTCTGCCATTTTTAGCAACTCCTGCCTATTTTTAAATGGAGGTATAATTGATATATATAACATTATATTAGCTTTAAGTGTACAATGTAGTGATTTAATATATGCATATATTTAAAACATTACAAAAAGTTTAACATCCATAACTGTACATAATTACAATTTTTTTCTTGTGATGAGAACTTGTAAAGTCTACTCCCTTAGCAACTTCCAGATATGCAATACAGTATCTTTATTTTATTGTTTTAAGTAGGCTCCATACCCAGCTTGGAGGCCAACACAGAGCTTGAACTCACAACCCTGAGGTCAAGACCTGAGTTGAGATCAAGAGTCAGACACTTAATTGACTGAGGCACCCAAGTGCCCCTGCAATGCAGTATTATTAATTATAGTCACCATGCTGTACGTAACATCCCCCAGACTTATTTTATAGCTGGAGAGTTGTACCTTTTGACCCCCATCACTTATTTTGTCAACATTGCCAACCCTCGCCTCTGACAACCACCAGTTTATTCTCTGTATCCGTGAGCTTAGTTTTTTGTTTAAGATTCCACATATAAGTTAGATCATATGGCGTTTGTCTTTCTCTGTCTGACTTATTTCACTTAGCATAAGGCTCTTAAAATTAATCAATGTTGTTGCAAATGGCAAGATTTCCTTCATTTTTATGGCTGAATAATATTCCTTTGTATATGTATACCACATATTCTTTTTCTGTTCATCTGTCTACAGACACTTAGGTTGCTTCCATAACGTGGTTATTGTAAATAATGCTGCACTGAACATAGGGGAGCATATATCTTTTTGAATTAGTGTTTCCTTTTCTTGGGATAAATACCCAGAAGCAGAATTGATAATATGTTAGTTCTCTTTTTTAATTCTTCGAGGATCCTCCTACTGTTCTTCAGAGTGGCTGCACCAATTTACCTTCCCCCGAACAGTACAAGAGGGTTTCCTTTTCTCCACATCCTCACCAACAGTTGTTACTTCTTGTCTTTTTGATAACTTTTCTGACAGATGTAAGGTGATATCTCATTATGGTCTTGATTTGCCTTCCCTGATGATTAGTGATATTGAGCATCTTTTCATCCAAGTCTGGGCCATTTGTGGGTCTTCTTTGGAAAAATGTCTATTCATATCCTCTGCCTATTTTTTAACTGGATTGTTTGCTTGAACATACGTTGTGAAATATGAAGGCAAAGTTGGTTGTTATAGCAGTAATAACAGAAAGATAGCTCACTTCTTCACAAATGGTTCCAAAGCGCATGGGCTCCTGTTCATATCAATAGAGTGTTATCAGGATTTGAATGCATTTTAACATTTAGTTTCTTAAGAGGTTTAAAAAATTTTTTTTCATTTAAAACCTGAGGGGCGCCTGGGTGGCTCAGTTGGTTAAGCGACTGCCTTCAGCTCAGGTCATGATCCTGGAGTCCCTGGATCGAGTCCCGCATCGGGCTCCCTGCTCAGCAGGGAGTCTGCTTCTCCCTCTGACCCTCCTCCCTCTCATGCTCTCTGTCTCTCATTCTCTCTGTCTCAAATAAATAAATAAAATCTTTAAAAAAAAATAAAAAATAAAAAAAATAAAACCTGATATGTCAGGTTTTTAAAGAAGAATATCTTTTGGTCTTCTGCATCTTTTCCAGGGTTTCTCATTCAGGTATTTTTCAGTTAATTTATATTTTTCCTCAGCCATGGGCTGCTGTTGACAGTTGTTTAGGCAGTTTTGGGTAATGAGTTTAGCCCAGTGGTCCTTTTTAATTCTTCATAAATGTTATTACTATAAATATGCAATGTGGGAATATTAAGTGCTTTATAGATTTTTGTAGGAATCATGGATTTCTTTAGAGAATACGAAAATCATGGTTATGTTATTATTGTCTAAATGCTGACAGTAAATTATAAGCTCGTAACTCTTTAAAACTTACATTTTTTAAAATTAAGTTAATTTTTTAACATACATTTTTTAAGTAACGTATGTGTCCTATAGAGGAAATCTACGAAACCTCAAAATATAATAGAAGGTATAAAAAATGGAGAGTCACATCTTGGAAGAGAAACTGACCATTGTAACAATGGTAGTTTTTCCAAATTTAATTTCTATACTAGTGTTGACTCCGTTGTCAGTGACAAAGGAGTGGAAGTTGAGGATGAGGCAGTCCCCACTGCATGTATCAGCTCTTTCGGAAAATTTAGTTATGTAGGGGAATAGAGAGGGTGACTCTGGAGGGAGCCAAGAGAGTCAGATACTCTTTGTTGTTTGAGAGAGAAGAAAATCTAGAGCATGTCCAAGTGCTCATGCTTATTGGAACAATATAGGGAACGACTGAGGAGGGGTATTTTGATTCACTGGGGTGGAGGAGGCATGTGGGGTGTGTTGGTAGGATATCCAAGCAAGGTTTCTGAGAAACTCTGGAGGGGTGGAGGGATTGGCTTTGAAAAGGAAAGGGAACTTGAGGGCTTGTATATTTTCTGTTGAAGTCTGAGCCTGTTGAGAATGAGGGGGTGAATGGGAAGTATGTCAAAAGTTTGAGAAGAGTAGAAAAGGCTTGAAAATAGGCATTTGAGGCGGTAAATTAGCCATTTCACTAGAAAAACATAGTAAGACTTCTATGTAGTGTTGACCATGAACTTAGAATCCTAGAATTCTGCCTAGTTTTGTGACCACTACCCAGCCCCCTTGCAGCTACTCAGATTTCTTGCTACAAGTGTGGGCGAGTCAAGTGGTCCAGTTCAAAGTTTTGATCTTGAAGTCATCGATCCCTCTTCCTACCTCGGTCTCTTGAAGAATAAACACAAACTCCACCTAACACGGTGCAGCTAAGGCAGTTGACTTTGGACATTCTCGTTCAGTTAAAGCACCATGATAGACAGATGGGAAGCTGAAGGTAGTGCAGCCATGTTTTGGGTGCTTTGGGAAGTTGCATTCAACTTAGTGTGGGACAGTTTTCAAAGTTTTCTATTGATTGTAATTATTTTGGTGTCTTTCAAAAAATTGATCTGTTTGAAAATGCTTATCTTATTTGGTGATAGAAAAACGAAACAAAGCCATTTTTTCCCTTAGAATGGAAAAAAAGAGATGTGATACTTAAAGTTCATAGCTGGTAAAATAAAAGGATATAAATCTTAGATAGACAAAAAGTAGGAAGTTGCACTCTCCATGTTTTATATTCAAAACCCCTATTTGGAAGCACAATGCAATTACGCGAGCCTGTATTTCTTACTGATGATACCTCTTCTTCTTTCATTTTAGGAAATAGTCTAGTAAGTTTAACCTTTCATTTATTTAGTCTTCATGGATTAATTGAGTACTTCCATTTAGATATGATGAAACTTCGTAGATTTTTAGGTAAGTGATTTCAACCCATTTAACAGTAATAAGATTTAAACTGTTTAAATTTTCATCAGTTGTGTCAGTTAGCTATCGCTCTAAAACAAACTACTCCAAATTTAGTGGCTTGAAATGACACGCATTTATTTAGCTGCTGAGTCTCTGGGGCTGTTGAATGCTGCTTGTGGTCCGGCTGAGCTCATTTATGTGCCTGCAGTTGACAGCAGGTGGGCTGCTCCATGGGCCTTGCCTGGGACCTCAGCTGGGACACTCAGCTTCGTGTGGCTCAGCTCTCCATGGTCTCCCATTAAATTAAAAGGAGGCAGAGGAGTTTGGCACCTTAATAAATTCACATTAAAAAACAAAAAAGGAGGAAATACTTACTGTACAACAAGCTGAGCTTGTTCAAGGAGTGGTGGCCAGTCTCCAGGAGAGAGCTGGTGACCCCAGACCCCCGGAACCCGGTGTCGGCACTGCTCTCCTTCACGCCACAACATCCTGTTGGCCAAAGCACATCAGGTGGGGATGAGCACACCTCTCGGCCAGGAAGCTTTGAAGGTTCAAACCATGGCTGGAGAGCAAGGTGAAGAAATGGGACACTTCTGCAGTCAGTCTCTTCGTTGACTACAGCTTTGTTATAAAGATGACACCGTTTCTGTCCTTTTTAAAAAGTTTGAAAGCTCAAACTTGAAAAAATCAGTTACAGTGTGCTTAGGTGTTCTCTTTTTCTGATCCCAGAAATCTCTTTACAGTACACTTTAAAGATTATTTTTAATATGTTTAAACATGCATGGTGATATTTGCTTAGGACTGCTCTGCTAGGAAAAAAGTTGAAGTTTTTCACCAAATAAATACATTAAAAGAAAAGAAGCATGAGGATTATTTCTTACTTTTTTAAAGAAGAAGATAGTTTCTTTCCTTTTAAATACCAAACGAAGATAAATTTATTACCTAGGCCCTTGAGAAACTTTTCATGTATATTTATTTATAATTTATGTCTGTAATACTATAGTTATATATTATATAAATTATAAAACACATACAAGAATAGATACTAACAAGAGTAATGAAAAAGTTGTTTGAAAGGTTGGATTAAAGTAAATACAGATTTGCAGTGCTCCTTCCTTCTCACCGGTAAGTCGTAGTTTAGCACTGTGGAATTGGTTCACATTACTTAGTGACCAGTAGATTAGAGTGTTACCTACTAGGGCCACGGCGGGCCTGATGGCAGTGGGGATAGCTCTACCCTAATCCTAGTCTACTTTTTCATGAGAGCATAACAGACACTGAGCAGAGCGTAGGATTAGCAGAAGGTCCAGCCTTACTACTGAAAAACTAATGCCAGATCCAAAACTTACCTCATGGATCATGTTCATATACCCCCAAATGACTGTCCTATTTTACCTTCATATAGATTTTTGTTCACTGATAAATGTCTAGAATCTAAAATAGTACTTGGTCCAATAAGTATGTATTCAATGAATTGTAGTGTTTGTTAGTTAAACTGAGAAACTTTTAAAATTACATTTAAAAGAGGGGAGTTTGGCACAATGATAGATTCACATTTTGAAAGAGAAAAATATTTATTGTTTTGACATGAATACCTTTTGAAAATTTCAAACAAGTCTGCAGTCAAATGGTATTGATTTTTGGTAAACATGTGACTTATGAGGTGATTATCATCTCTGAATCTGAACAGTTAGCTGATAGCCACATGAAAATTTTAAGTGGAAAACTCATAATCACCATAATTTTTGTACTTGCACATGCTTCTCACCTACAATGAAATCTGGGATCTTTTTTCTTTGCAGTTATGATTCAAGAAGATTACCACAGTCAAAACCCTTACCACAATGCAGTCCATGCTGCAGATGTTACTCAGGCCATGCACTGTTACTTAAAAGAACCTAAGGTAAGGTGCTGGGTGAAAATCCTAAGAAAATTCCTTTTCCTTAAATTAGTGATTTGACTCAAAATGAGAGTCTTCCTTCACAAGAATAAGATCTGGCTGGATCAAGTTTCCCATCATGGTTATATTTGTAAGTGCAGCAGCTGGAGAACTGGGTGATTGTTGAAAGTGAGGCTGGAGAAGTCCAGGCAAGGTCCAGATCCTAGGCACCCCCTCCCCCCCAGGGCTATGTTAAGACACTGGCATTTATACCAAGCTTCTTGTGAGCTCCATGAGGGCTGGATAGCATTAGTCCAGTTCAGTGAATGAATGGGGAGCTACAGAAGAGAAACAGGAGACTTTAGAAAACTATCCTGTGGTATAAAAATAAATCTGACAAGACCAGGAAAATGGACGCCTGTCAGGAGCTGTTTGATTTCGATGCACTACGAAAGAGCCTGGTGGCCCAAGCTAGGACAAGTAGCCTTGGGGAAGGAGAGAGGTGGGTGGTCTGTAAGGTCTCTTGGGAGTTAGAATGCCCAGGTTATGGTGTCTGCATGCATGTGGGGGAGGGAAATAGGGAGAAGAGTCAATGAAGACTGCATGGGGCAGCAGAGTAGAAGGTGGAATTCTGTGAGAGAAAGAACGTAGAAAAGGGAGCAAGTCTTGGGGGTAAGGCTGGTAAAAATGAGGAGTTCTGACTAAACCAGTTTGTGCTAGTTGATGCCAACTTTGAGAATATAGCCATGTGGTTGCTTGTCTTCTGATTTTTCAAGAGATTGTGGAATATGTGAAAATACCCCAATTTTTAAAGTATATATGTCATGACTTTTTTTTAAAGATTTATTTATTTTAGTGTGAATGCGCATGCATGGAGGGGAGGGGCGGAGGGAGAGGGAGAGAATATCCCAAGTAGATTCCCCGCTTAGCGTGGAGCCTGACACAGGCGTCTATCCCACAACCCTGAGGTCATGACCTGAGCTGAAATCAAGAGTTGGGCACTTAACCGATTGAGCTACCCAGGTGCCCCACATCACTTTTTTAAAAAATCAACTTTATTGTGGTGTCACTTATATGCAATAATAAAATGTATACATATCATGGGTACAGTTTTTTTTTTTAATTTTAAGATTTATTTATTTGTCAGAGAGAGCGAGAGCACAAGCAGGGGAAGTGGCAGGCAGAGGGAGAAACAGGCTCCCTGCAGAGCAAGGAGCCGGATTCAGGACTTGATCCCAGGACCCTGGGGTTATGACCCGAGCCGAAGGCAGATGCTTAACCAACTGAACCACCCAGGCGTCCCTTTTTTTTAATTTTTTTTAAGATTTTATTTATTTATTTGTCAGAGATCATGGGTACAGTTTTGACAAATGTATACTCCCAAGTGCCCCAATCTTTTAATTGAACTTTAGAAAAACTCTGGGCCAAGCTTGAAGCCTCTGTGTGAGAGTTCTTTGGGAGAAATTAGTAAGTAATCACCATACAGTAAATGGAATGGTAAATGGAATGATGAAGGTTAAGTGTCCTGTTCTGTGAGACACAGGAAGTTAATTAACCTAGTGAACATGTCAGTGAAGGCTTCTCCACTCCTGTCTTCCACTGGCCACACCCAACCAGAATCCAGGGGCGCAGAAGGTAGGGTTCATGCCAGGCCGTGGGCGCTGCGGGAGGGGCAAGAACATGCAGGATGGGGAGGTTGTGGATAAAAATGAAGAACAGTCTTACCCGTGCGTCTCTGGCAATACTAATTTTTAAACATTTTTTTGCCCTTGTAACTCTGATAATTCTTCCTTTAAAAACTTTTCATCATTAACATACTCAGTGAATTTAATCAAAGCTCCATTGAAGGAGACAGATAAAATCACTGGGCCCTCAGATGCAAGAATTCCCTTCTCCTTTATTGTAGTTTACATTTTAAAACAGAATCCCTCAAAGTTTTAAAAGTGCATTTTAAAAAAAGCCTTAAGATTGTATCTTTTTTACTTCCCAGGCTTTTGTGTGGCATCATGCTTTCAAGTGCTTTCGTTCATTAATTAAGTACATTTTCCTGGTGCTAGGAATCCAGTGGTAAACAGGACAGGAAAGGTCCCAGTGGGGGAAGCAGTCATTAAATAAATGTTGACATATGGGGCGCCTGGGTGGCTCAGTCAGTTAAGCATCTGCTTTCAGCTCAGGTCATGACCCCAGGGTCCTGGGATCGAGGGTCCTGGTCCAGGTCCTGGTCTGCATCAGGCTCTCTGCTCAGCAGGGAGCCTGCTTCTCCCTCTGCCTGCCGCTCTCCTTGCTCATGCTCGCTCTCTCTCTCTCCCTCCCTCTCTGAAAAATAAATATCTTTAGAATGTTGACATGTATTGTTGTAATTACTGCTATGGAGAAAGTGAAATAGAGGAATGTGCTTTAGATTGACCAGTGGATGGCAAGCATTTATGGCTTTAGGTAGAGTGGTCAGAAAACACCGAAACCTAAAGGGAAAATTTGAGGGGGAGTCAGCCGTAGAAAGATGCAGACACAGAGGGCATCGTAAATAGAAAGGCTTAGATATAGTATTTAGTGAGAAATCTGCCTTCAGTTGTTATGTATGATTTCTGTGTAAGAGCTAATTCCTGGACTATAGGTGAAAAAAATATTGAAAGCCCCCCAAATTGTCAGAAAGTTATGGAAAAGTTGCTTCTCTCTGTACTTGGATCACCTCTAACTTTAGTGTTTACTTTTTATGTTTTCCTAGCTGAACTTACGTAGGTAACAATTTTGTTCCAGTTGAGCCTATTAGCACTTAATAGCAACAATAAAAACAGTGAGGTTTTTTTATCGAACACAGGAAAACTCACCATTACTAGTTTTCTGTTTGAAAAAGGGCCCTGACGATAGCTTTGCAGATACAGGTGAAGCCTGGCTCATAGACGTCAGATGATTTGCAGTTTCTTCTTCACATGACTTGGTACAGTCCGGCATTACCAGATACAGTCACAGGAATGGAAATAACATTTGCCTTTGGTTTTAATTCACTTTTTTAAAAAATTGTATTAATGTCATTGACTTCTTTGTCTTTGTTATAAAGCTCATAAAGTTTTCTTTCTGATGAAAAATTTTTTACAAGCAGAAATGTTACATTTTTATTCAAGAATTTTTTTTTTAATGTAGATTTGTTTTTTTTTTTAAAGATTTTATTTATTTGACAGGGAGAGACACAGCGAGAGAGGGAACACAAGCAGGGGGAGTGGGAGAGGGAGAAGCAGGCTTCCCGCGGAGCAGGGAGCCCGATGCGGGGCTCTATCCCAGGACCCTGGGATCATGACCTGAGCCGAAGGCAGACGCTTAACGACTGAGCCACCCAGGCGCCCAATTGGATTTGTTTTCAACTTAGAATTTACTTTCCCTTCACAGGACTTTTAAAAAATTCAGTTGCTCCTTCTCATGTTTCTCTTTTTAATGGTCAACTCTTAAATCTACCTGAGATTGTTTGATGTCCTGTGTAATGATACATTAATTTTTTTATTAAGTCTCATTCTGGATTATTACTATATTCTCCCAGGATAGTACATGTCTATTTTTCTGCCACTTCCCCTCTGCTTTAGTTACCATAAGAATATGATACCTCTGCATATTGCTTAATAAATTACACGTTCATAAGATGTTCACAGCCATGCCCACACATCTCTGTCGGGGAGGGGAGGTTGTTTTAGATGCAGGCTGCCCACAGAGTATGCCTCCTTTGTATCTTGATTAGTAAGCAGGGCTTTAAACATCTTTTTTTTTTAATGCTTTTGCATATCCTAAAGAAGAAATCATTTTCTTTACCATCCTCTCCATTCATTGAGCCTCTCCATATAGCAATTATAGGTAATACAAAATAATGCAGATTTTCTGCCTTCAAACAACCTACAGTTTTCCAGGGGATTCAAGCCCTCAGATGGTGATTTTTTTTTTTTTTTTTTTTTCCCAGTCTGAGATGAGTTTGACATAGGGGGTGGAAAAAAGTCCATTCTGGTATAGGAAAAAAAATGTTAGAATTTTTATCTAAAATTTTCAACTTTTACCTCTGTTTTATCATGTGCAATATATATTAATCCAGTATCATAATCAGTAAGTATAACTGTATTGGGGGTATATCGTCAAAATATTTTACTGTTAGGTAGGACACAGGATCACACAAGTATAGAGAGCATTGCCCTAATGTTAACCGAAATAAAAGTATGCTCTGCAGAGTGTTACTATGGCAAGGACATTGAGGTGTTGTAGGAACACAGATCAGTCATTTGTTTGCTCAGGGGCTGGAGGCAGAGAACAAGGTAGATCTGGTCAGAGGAGTCAGGCCCTAAAAGATGAGTAGAAGTTGGCCAGAAAATGAGAGGTGCTTGATGAAAAGCAGGTGATATACGCAGGTGATCATTTCTTACCATTGACAATTTCAGTTAGTTATTTTATCACTGATAGTTTCAGCCAGGTAATAAACTTACTTCTTGTGATTATTTTATTGTATCAGCTAAGATTAGCAATGAATATTGAAAGTAACATCATAATTGCTAGTTTACAAGATTGCCTTTTCTGAGGTGAATACATTGTGAACACTGTTCTGAATGTATCCATCCATTGGGAGAGGATTTTATTACACACTGGATATAGACTTCTCCATGATTACTCAGTAGCTTCCTTAAACATTAGAACCTCAGAAATAACCTTACATTTTGGATTCCTAATTGACATCCAGTAACCAATTTGTTGACAGGTAAGTACCCTCAGTCATAGGTCTTCTGTCGGTGGTGGCTACAGTAATAACAATAGATAAACCTGTGTTTGTTTTAAACTCATTTGTCAAAAAGGTGGTTTATGTTTTAGCTGTCATCTTAAGTAAGCTTGTTTAAGATGAAACAGTATAAGGACAAGGTCCATGAACTCCACACAGGAAGGGATACCCATCATTATCATGCCTGTCCCCAGTGTCAGGACGAGGACATCACCTGGCAGGCGTCCGGTGGTCTTCATGAGTCTGAAAAACATGGAGGAGGAGGAGACTCAACACTACTATTTGGAGCTAATTCAAAACTACTGTAATGGTACTGAGTTTATTTCAGACATGCCTATAATTAATTCTTTTGTCACACTTCAGCTTGCCAGTTCTGTAACCCCTTGGGATGTCTTGCTGAGCTTAATTGCGGCTGCCACTCACGATCTGGATCATCCAGGTGTTAATCAACCTTTCCTTATTAAAACTAACCATTACTTGGCAACTCTGTACAAGGTTAGTACAATTTTAGCATGCAATTTAATATTCTTGTATTCTGGAAAATGTTTTAATGGAGTCAAAGTCGTAAACAAATTCTCAATGAATGTTAGAATTTTAACCAGATTAATATTACCTACAAATAATTCTTTATGTTCAGGAAGAGGCTTACCATTAAATAACTCAGATATGCCCTTTTTTGTAGAATACCTCAGTACTGGAAAATCACCACTGGAGATCTGCAGTGGGATTATTGAGAGAATCTGGTTTATTCTCACATATGCCATCAGAAAGCAGGTAGGCTGGATTAAGACACATTTAATTTGTTACGCACTATGGAGATTAAGTTGGCAAAACAATTTTATAAAGTTTTAAAAATTATTCAGGTGTTCCACAGTTTTCAGTTTTTGTTAAATTTAATGGCTAAATTATTTTACACCTTTATATCAAAATTCTAGTAATTTAAACCTATTCTACAATATAGACAGTAGTATTTTTTTAGTGAATTTTTATGGCTCACCCCATAGATTTGAGTATTATAAAATTTACTCCAAATACACAGTGGCTCATAGTTTACTACTTATTTATGTAAATAGTATTACATATTTCCATTTTATGCTCATCTGAATAATTCTAGATGTAAAGAAATTCTAGGTATAAAGAAATTAATCATTCTGTATAATAAATACACTCATTCAAGTAAGTTTCAGGAAGTTTTCAAAACTGATAACAAGTAAAAAGGATGCTTTGTAGTTCAGTAGCATAGTCCTGGAGTCACTTCTGGAGCTAGCTATAGGATAAAATAGTGATGGAAAGAACAGGAAATACTAATTTTTAAGTAAAGACCATTTAATGTTAAGCAGGCCATTTGAAAGCCTAATAAAAAGCATCAGTGCAAATGAGCCCAATATGATGGTGGTTAACAAAATCTCTTATTGATCTACAAACAAAAGCTTTTACTAATGTCTCACTGAGAGAAGATGCACTTAAGAAAACCATGTAAATGGGTGTAAACCATCTAACTCTAGGAAACAAGGTGAGGCATAAAAATGTTTGGGTACTGTAATTTAAGTCACTATCATAGTTCTTTCCATTTTCCCTTTCATAATTTAAAACAACTTTATTTTTAAAACTTAAGTATTTTGTGTAATGACCATGAGAAAAAAGCTGGACTTTATTTTCTATTCTTTTAAATCTTTATTCTCGGATACCATTTGGAGTTATGACAATACTTCTGGTAAGTAAAATTGTTTCTTGCCATAGTACAAATATAAAAATTGCTTTATTAAACCATAGTTTTTATATATATAAATTATTTTTTTCTTGATTAAGGCAGATTAAAATGTTTGCTTTATTCCCTTTTTGTCTTGTTTTACATTTGATGATTAACCCTGTTGATAAAAACTGAAAATAAGGAACACTGCATAATAGCATTCTTTCATGTTTCCTTTATTTAGGGTTTGTTTTATTTAATATCCAGTATTGTGAGCCTTTTAAGCTGTTGACAGGTCTTTACTGATCTTTATACGTAGATAATGTTTGCTATGGCCCATTGAGGGGGAAAAAAGCAGGGATATTTTTTTAAGTTTATTTTTCTTACTTGAAACAGTTTTAAGAATGATATAATGTATTAACACGTTACCTTTTCCTTTCCAGAAAAGTTGGATATTCATTCAGATAATTTTGATTCTTGAATTTGACCCTGAAAATACAATTTTATCTAAACTTTATCAGGGCGCCTGGGTGGCTCAGTCGTTAAGCATCTACCTTCAGCTTGGGTTACAATCCTAGGGTCCTGGGATCTAGCCCCGCATCAGGCTCCCTGCTCCGTGGGAAGCCTGCTTCTCCCTCCCCCACTCCCCCTGCTTGTGTTCCCTTTCTCGCTGTGTCTCTCTCTGTCAAATAAATAAATAAAATCTTTAAAATAAATAAATAAACGTTGGGCGCCTGGGTGGCTCAGTTGGTTAAGCGACTGCTTTCGGCTCAGGTCATGATCCTGGAGTCCCGGGATCGAGTCCCGCATCGGGCTCCCTGCTCGCCAGGGAGTCTGCTTCTCCCTCTGACCCTCCTCCCTCTCATGCTCTCTGTCTCTCATTCTCTCTCTCTCAAATAAATAAATAAAATCTTTAAAAAAAAAAAAAAAGTCTAAAAAAAAAATTAAATAAATAAACGTTATCAGATTGTTTGGTGGGATTTTATCAATGTATAATCAGGCATCTTAGTCAAAATACCTACAAGAATTAGTTGTTGAATGGGCTGTTCTTCCTCTGTTTGAACCAACCTTCTGCCTTTCAGATCTCAGACACCAAAAAATAAACCAGAGTTGTTTACCCTCAGCACATCCCAGCAAAGAATTTTCTAAAATAACATACCAATCTCATATAGATTTTAAGGCAAATAATTCCTCCTTGGTTGGCAAAATAAAAGCAGTCTTTTTGGAATGTACGCATATTGGTATTTTCCTGTCCTTTGGTTTTGGTTGATTATTTTAGTAGGTTTTTTTAAATGCATTCTGTAAAATTCATTTTTTTGTGATAGGTTAAAAGTTGAATGGCAATTAGAGTGTTAAGCTTAAGAAAAAAAAAATCAAGAAGTAACTATTTAATTGAAAGTCTTGTATTTTCTCTTTATATTTCTCTAATTCCAGGCAACAGATGGAGACTCAGATAGGTGCTTTGATACTAGCCACAGACATCAGTCGCCAAAATGAGTATCTGTCATTGTTTAGGTCCCATTTGGACAGAGGTGACTTATGCCTAGAAGATGCCAGGCATAGGCATTTGGTTTTACAGGTAAAATGGGGCTGGGAAAGATTCTCTTTCGAGATAAGTTACATAAGCATTAGAATAAAAATGAAATCTTCTGAGGTAGCTTTCAGAGTGGTCAAATCTTGAGGGAAAGCTGTGGAATCTCCTTCCGTTAGTGAAACACTTTCCAGAAGGTTTATCTCCTCCTTAGGAAAGCACCATTGATGGGACGCCTGGGTGGCTCAGTCATTAAGCGTCTGCCTTCCGCTCAGGTCATGATCCCAGGGTCCTGGGATCGAGCCCCGCATCGGGCTCCCTGCTCCGCGGGAAGCCTGCTTCTTCCTCTCCCACTCCCCCGCTTGTGTTCCCTCTCTCGCTGTCTCTCTCTCTGTCAAATAAATAAAAATTAAATAAATAAATAAATAAATAAATAAAAACGAGAGAGAATCAGATGATTTCTTTGTAGCTTTATGTTTAGTCCAGTCCTCCTGCTTGGCTCTTGGGTATTAATAACGTGTCATTAGATGAGCAGTCTTTCAGCATTCCTGCAGAAATAATTGATAGCCCTAACAGTGTCATGAAGTGAATATAAAAGACAATGAATTTTCTATTGCAGTATTTTCTTTTTCTTTATTAAGATGTTGTTTTTCCCATGATTAAAGCATGTTGAAGTTTGTGCAATTGAAATTTTACTTTTTTCTTAAAAGAATTTTAATATTTTGCTTGCTAGATGGCTTTGAAATGTGCTGATATTTGTAACCCGTGTCGGACCTGGGAATTAAGTAAGCAGTGGAGTGAGAAAGTAACAGAGGAATTCTTCCATCAAGGCAAGTTACAGTTTCGAGTGATAGTCTTTTCAGTTCCGTTTTTAGCATCACATGGATAAACTAACTCAGACATTTACAGGAGTCCAGCAAGAGATGCTTGGTATTTTTAGTGACAATTCATAGTAGATGTACATAGAACAAATAGTGTACAAATTGAGCATCTGTTTTGGAAATTAGCAGTTTGCTTTTGAAATGATCAGATGTGACTGTATGTATGCACTTATAAATAGACGTAGATCTGGTTGGAAATTTTGCTCTGCAGAAAGATTTCCTGACCTTGTTCCATCTTTGTCCCATGTGGAATGTATGGCCGTATGAACGTGCAGGATATTTTTAGTGATTTCAAGCCAGGAACCGAGGATCTTCATTTCATGTACCTTCTTTTTAGAAATCTTAAGTTTTAAATTAAAATGCTGACAGAATTACAGTCTTGGGGTAACACCTAGTGAAATTTTTCATCTTCTCCATTTAAAATAGGATATCAGCTTGGCAACCTTTTCCCTCTGTGAATAACTTAAAAATTTAAAAAAGAACTAATTTAGAATTCATCCTCTCAGGAGGATTAAGTATGTCGTGTTTTTCCTAAGGAATGTACAGGTAAGACAAAGACTTTAATTATATACTTAAGCAGTAGGTGTGTTCCACATTAATAATTCTGTTTTTTTTTTTTTTTAATTTTAGGAGATATAGAAAAGAAGTATCATTTGGGTGTGAGTCCACTTTGTGATCGTCAGACTGAATCTATTGCCAACATCCAGATTGGTAACTATGCATACTTAGATATAGCTGGTTAGAAAAATGCCGCTGACTTTAATTTTGTCAAGAAGAGATACACATTTGAAACAAGTAATATTAAAATTGTGCTCATTTTTAGTTTTTAATTGAAGACATTTTACCTGTTTTTCCTGTTTTTGGCTCTTAAAATTTGCTGTCATTTGATCTTAGGTCCTAAAAACCATGATTTTTGCAAAGTAGGTAGCAGTAACTTTGTGTGTGTTCTAACCCCGGAAGAATACATGGTTTGCCCATGTGGAAGCTTCTTCTGCCCGAGTCTGGCATTGCCGTTCTGAAGTGAGCAAGCAGGATGATAGTGTGAAGACCAGTTTTCGCCACTGCTTCCTTGTGTCTTGTAGCTCTGCTGTCGGCTCATTCTGCAGCCTCCCGCACACGCCCCTCACGCACCCACAGCAGCTTGGGACTCGGCCCTGTTCCCCAAATCCGTGACGCCCCCTTCACTCTTTCCGCCTCGCCATCCTTCCCACCTGTCTGCTGGACTCGTTTTTCTGGAAGAGCCACCCCCTCCAGAAGCCACGTTCCACTCTCTGCAGGCAGAGCCGTTCCGTTCCCAGGCCTCGGGGCACCAGATCATGTCTCTCCTGGCTCCCAGGCCCCGGCCCTGGAGGCAGGGGGCACTTGAGAACCGTTAGTTATGCTCTGATGGAAAACACGGCGGTGGGGGGGGATGTGCTGTGACTGCAGCAAGAGCAGAGGAGGGGGCGGTGGGGTTTTGAGTGTAAAGTAGGAGGACAGTGTGCGGAGGGACAGGTCAGCAAGGTATTGAGGGACGAGTATGGTTTTGGTAGCTGGTGTTGAGTAGGGCCTTGGAGCATTAGGGAACGTAAAGAAGTGTGGACACAAACTTCTGAATTTCTAGGAACTTTATCTTTCTGAAGATAACGTGCTTCTGTGGCATAATACTTTGAAGAGAGGCCTGTGCCGTCGGGTGAGAAATTCAGAAATGGAATGCTCACAAACTGTACCTGCCGAGGATGGTCACGTGGAAGACAGCGGGAAGTAAGGGACTTGAGCACAGAGGGCGAGGCAGGGAAGCCGAAGAGCCGGGCCCGGGAGAATGCAGGGCTGCCGGCGCCCGGAGAGCCAGGCAGCCAGGGAGCCGAGGAGCTTCACTGCGGGCGACGCGTTCTTTGGGGAGGATGAGAAGACAGTTAAGAAGCAGGTCTGTTGTGCCTGGAATCTCAAGTAGAAAAGTCTTGAAAGGCAAAGACCAGGTGAAACGTGGGCAAAGGGGATTGAATCGAAGATAGGAGAGTGGGTAGCAGCGTCTCCGGAGCTTACTTTCACGTTCTTTTGCCTGAGGAAATGACCCCCTCAGTGAGGGAACTTAACAACGAGGTTTTTTAAAATTGCGTTTTTTGAAAGGGAAAAGAAGCCGGATCCCTTAAACTCTTCATTTCCACCTATAGATCTTGTCCGTGTTGGACAGTTCTAGGTAAGGTTACCTGAAGGACAAAGATTTTACGGAAAATGATGTTGTAAAAGTTGACGTCTGCTGACTCCTCACAACCACCCTAGGACAGAAGTACCGCTAGTAGTCTCTTGTGCAGATAGTTTGCCCAGTTGATACAGTTAAACAGATACTGGTCTTTGTGACATCAAATCCCAGGTAAAAAAAAGCCTTGGAAAGATTAGATTTCTAGGGTAAATCATAGGACTACAAGTACTGTGATTACTCAGAGCCAGCATAGGGTCAGTAAGTAGAAGTCATGTTTCATTAATGCAGTTCCCTTCTTTGATAGGAGTACTAGTTTTGTTAAACAAGAAAAGGTCATGTCCTGGCTGAGTAAGGCATCTGACATGGTGTCCTGTAGTGTGTGTGGCGGTAAGAGAGGCCCGTGGGCTAGAACAGCAAGGGGGCTCCCAGGCAGCTGACGAGCGCCCTGCCCTCCGAGAGGGCGCTGCGGGGCTCTGTGTCCAGGACCCCGGCCCATTCATTTTTACCAGGTACTTAAGAGCTAAAAGAAGATTAACCTAGAGCCAGAAGTAATACTTCTGGATTGTTGGATGTTATAGGCAAGATCCAGAAGCTCTCAACCAGTTGGAATAATGGGTGAATCAAATAAGATGAAACTCATGTACAACCCTGATAATAAGGTTCTGCATATTGGTATAAAACTCCAGGCGCTCATGACTTCACTCCGGCACCTAGAAAAGACAGGGCTTTGGGTGACGGTTCAGCCAGACACTGTGGTGTGAGGACAGCTCCCAAAAAGCTGCTGCTTTGACTGTGGGGATGACCTTTTCTCTCTCACCTCTTTCTCGTCACCAGAGCACAACTCCTTGAGGGCACATCTTGTCTGTCTATTCACCGCTCTATTCCTGGCCGCCCTACCGCAGTGCCTGGCAGTCGGTTCTCAGTTAGTATGTGCGGAGGGAACGGAAGAAGGCCTTATTTCCAGTAGTAACTACTAGTTCAGATACCACAGTTTGTACACTTGTCTAATTAAAAGTAGTAGGTGCTAATTGCTTTAATTCCAGATTTTTTTGTTGCCTAAACGTAACCTATGTTGTCTGCGGTCCACATGGTCTTTTGCTGAAAAGAAAAAGTTCTGGAGGTGAAGGAAATTTTAAAACTATTCCTTAGCAGGGATAGAATTTGCATTTTGTCAGGAGTTTTGGCTCCCCAAATTCTGACTTAAATGAAGTGGCCAGTTGTAAGCATGACCAGGTGTGAAGATTGCCACCCCTGAGGGGGTAAAATGGAGCAGGCCGCACCCATGCCACCTCGGTTCCCGCCTCATCAGCCACAGGCCTGGGAGAGACCCCCTTTGCCTCCAGCTGTCCCCCTGGAATGGCCTGTCCTGCTTTCCACAGAGCTGAGAGGGCCACTGAGTGTTTGCTCAAATAGGATGTGGTCGTGCAGCTGAGAGGAATCGTCAGAAAAGATTTGATGTGTTTGTCAACTCACCTTTACTTCAGGTTCCATCGAGTTACTTAATAGGTTCTTCGGAGGTTAGGTAAATTTACACACACACACATGCTGAAAACTTAGTGTTGAATTAGGACTTACAAGAATAAACACTGGCGAGATGTTTTGAAGATAAAGTTTCAGGATCTATGTTAATACCCTTTTCTCTTACTTTCTCAAGGTTTCATGACTTACCTGGCGGAGCCTTTATTCACGGAATGGGCCAGGTTTTCCAATACCAGGCTCTCGCAGACAATGCTCGGACATATGGGGCTGAACAAAGCCAGTTGGAAGGGGCTGCAGAGGGAACAGTCCACCAGTGAGGACACGGATGCTGCGTTCGAGGAGTTGAACTCACAGTTATTACCTCAGGAAAATCGGTTATCGTAGCCCTCAGAAGCAGTGGGACAGACTGCCTCCTGCCGGATTTTAGAAATGTGAAATGGGGTCTCGAGGTGAGAGGACGTTCTCTTGGCCTGCCAAGGTTTCCGAAGGAACGAGGCCAGCGTTATTTATTCCCAAGGCGTCCTCTCTCGGATCATGTGACCCCACTTTTTTAATTCTAAGACCTGACCATACAGCAATATGCATTTGGCTTTCGTGTGAACCCTTGAATATGCAAAGCCCAGCAGGAGCGAACCGGAAAGGAGTAACAGGAAGTTTTGCGGTGTGCCACGAGTCTTTTAAAAGCATTTGTTCCTCGAACCACGAAACTTGAACTGTATCTTTCAGCAGAGATCTCTTGGAATTTGAGCAGTCTGATGCAACATTGTGTGTCTGTACCTTCCCCCAAGTTCTCTCTGAGAAAATGGAAATGTGAAGTGCCCAGCCTCTGCTGCCTCCTGCAAGACTCGATGTTTACAAATCAACTCTGAAATACTGGTTCTAAATTGCCTTGGAGCAGGATTGTGAAGGAACCACTAAGAATTTCAAAGATCAAACTGAAACTGCAGCTCTTTCCCCCTGGTTTGCCTTTTTTTCTTCTTTGGATGCCACCAAAGCCTCCCATTTGCTATAGTTTTATTTTGCGCACTGGAAACTGAGCATTTTTCATAGAGTACCACCAAGCTTTCCCTTCAGTGCTGTTTGGCAATGCAATTTTTTTTAACTATTTAGTTTTTAATTTGGGGCGGGAGGGGAAGAACACCAATGTCCTAGCTGTGTTATGATTCTGCAGTGAAGACATTGCATGTTGTTTTCACTACTGTACACTTGACCTGCACATGCAAGAAAAAGGTGGAATGTTTAAAACACCATAATCAGCTCAGGGTATTTGCCAATCTGAAATAAAGTGGGATGGGGAAGTGTGTCCTTCAGAGCAAGGGTACTAAAGTCCCTTTCGCTGCAGTGAGTGAGAGGTATGTTGTGTGTGAATGTGTGGACGTGTGTTCGCGTGCATGTTTGTGCATGTGTGACTGTGCATGTGTTATATTTATCCATGTGGGGAAGGGTCTGAAATGTAAGCTTTTATTTATTATTTTAGAATGTGACACAGGGCGCAGCCACAAGGGGGGGGGGGAAGGTAGGTGAGCCGTAACAGACTGCTCCAGTTGCCTTAAACTATGCACAAAGCTAAGTGACCAAACTTCTTGTTTTGATTTGAAAAAAGTGCATTGTTTTCTTGTCCCTCCCTTTGATGAAACGTTACCCTTTGATGGGCCTTTTGATGTGAACAGATGTTTTCTAGGACAAAATCTAAGGACTAATTTTAAACTTCAAACATTCCACTTTTGTAATTTGTTTTAAATTGTTTTATGTATAGTAAGCACAACTGTAATCTAGTTTTAAGAGAAACCGGTGCTTTCTTTTAGTTCAATTGTATTTCCCTTGTTACTGTAAAAGACTGTTTATCGATTATGTTTACATTGTTGCAACAGCCATTTCCTTCGGAGAAAGCTTGAGTGTAAAGCCGTTTGTCAAAGGCTTTGCCATACTCATTTTAATATGTGCCTGTTGCTGTTAACTTTTGATGAATAAAAACCTATCTTTTCACATATTTATCTTTGATATTTACCTTACAACTCAGTCTTTTGGAAATCATAACGCTAAACTGTCAGAAGTCAGAGACTTAGCTTCCTGGTTCTAGCACTCACTCCGCGGGTATTTATTTCGGCAGAGCTGGGTGCAGGCACAGTCCTTTGGGGTTATGCTCCGCTACCTGCAGCGCATGCCGGAGCAAGCGGCCCCGGTTGGGTAGTTGGCTCCGAGTTCTGACTAATACTAATAGTAGAAGTCAGCTGTGAGCTCGGGCCTTTTGACTCCACAGCCTGATTGTGCCCACAGCTGGGAATTGCATAAGACATCAGCGCCTCTTGCCAGGACGAGAATACTAGTGCTCCTGGCCTTTTTAAAGTAGAGTAGTAAGACACGGCCGCTTTCTTTCAGCTTGATTGATATCAGTGCAAGACGGGCACCACTGGGCCTCTCCTGTGTCTTCCCAACTCCAATTCATTAGAAAGGATATAGTACAAACTTTAAAATCAAACATACTGTCATTATCTGCATAGAAGAGTGATGTCCATTAGGAATATCATGTGAGCCATGTAAGTGAATTATCAATTTTCTACTAGCCACATTTTAAAAAGGAAAAACAGATGGAATTATTTTATTAACATTTATTCCAATATATCCAAAATATTGTATCAATTCAATATGTAGTCATTATCTTAGAAAAAACAATTGTTGAGATGTTTTACATTCTTTTGCGGGGGTACAGTCTTTGAAATCTGGTGTGTATTTTACACTTACAGCACATCTTGGTTCAGACTAGCCACAGTTCAAGTGCTCGATACCCACGTGTGGCTAGTGGCTACCATACTGGACAGCTCGGGTACAGAAGTCTGATGGTAGTCGAGTGGACTGTACCTGGGGAAGGTCAGTGGCCACTTAGGTGGCACCATCCTGGCAAATCTGATGCATCTAGAGTCTGAAGAGATCTTTACAGATCTAGTATGTCAGCACATGGAAAGTGGAACTATCTCATAGGAAACTCACATTAACCAAGCTCACAGTAACTGGTATTTTTTTAAAATGTTAGTTTTTTTTTTTTTTTTTAATTTACAATGGAAATATAACTATCAATCATTCTCTCCCTTTAGGCAAATCTTCTTGGGAAGTCAAATTATGATCAGCGGTTACTTGGTGAGCATGGATTCTGAGCAAGGGAAGCAAGTTGCCTCATGCATCCATCTCCCTATGGGGATATACCTGCTGATACTCATGTTTGTGGACCAGGGTACGCTCTTCCCTTGGATGATGCTAGAGATTCTCTGCCAGTAGTTGCTTCTCCACATCAGCCTCTGGTTGGCACATCCAGTAGATCTGTCAATACCTTCAGCTTTGTCTCAGTTGAGCCTGCCTCGGCTCCATCTGCCTGCGTGTGATTGCTTCTGCTCTGATCCATTATGTGTTTCTTACTGTTTGATAGTCAAAGGGTTATCTTCTTATTTCCATTCTTGAGAGAGACACCTCAGTGTTGCTCCCATTTCCTGCCTACACATAATAAACCCACTAAGAAATTATGTTTTGTTACTTACACGTGGAGGTCACAGTCTACAGTCCTGTTCTTAAATATAACCTATATTCCTTGAACATTGATTTTCTAGAAGAAATTTGAGGAAACTGTTGTTCAATAATTTAGAAGATTACACTTAATATAAGTAAATGTTATGGGACAGAATTAAAATTCACATGAATTTTTAAAATGGGAGACTTCAAAGAATTGTTGAGCATGTAGCAGCCTTTTGGGGCTCTAGGCCCAACACTTCAGTAGTGCGGGGGGCATCTCCTCTGCCCTGGGGCTAAAGGTCCTTGGAGAGAAAATTTTGGCACAAGCCTTAGCTTAATGAAAAAAACAAAACAAAACCTCTGGTACTTGGTCATTATTTGTATTCTGTAAATGTGATGGTTTATAATGATCCTCTCTGTATAAAAGCAGCAAATATTTTATGTCCTTTTAAACCTGGGAAATATATTTGTGCCTGAGGTACAGGTTAGAGGTGCTAGTTGTTCTTTGAAGATTCCTATAATGGTTTCTTTTTCCACATGCTTTCCTGGCTCTTAAAGCTTTCAGTTTTCTTAAAGCTCTCAAACTTTCACACCAGAGGTTTACAGTGTTTTCATGTGAACTTTTTTTAATGTATAAATATAAAATCCTCTCCCAGTCAGTATCTCCTGCTTGACAAAATATACAATGAAAGACAGCTAATACGCATTCACTAATGTTTTTTAAATAAACGTGCAAGAGTTCGTCTGAGCCATTCCTTGCTTACTAAGGATCCACAGACAACCTGTGTCTTTTGGAAGGCCCCCAAGGGCCCATGGTCTGTAGGTGGAGTGACCACTACTTGGAGGTGAACGGACAGGGAGCACAGAGCAGGTGTCATCCACCTTCTAGCCTCTCGTGCTTAGCACAGGGCTAGTGTAAATTGGGCCATCAATAAATGTTTCGTTGAACAAACTAATTTGGTATTAATGTGTTTCCTCTTTAGCCATCAGTCTAACATTGAGAGGTTATATCGAAACTGGTCTGTCTGTGCTGAGTCATGTGGTCAGCAACATCTGGGTTCCTGTTGTATGCAGAGAGCACTGCAATGGATGTAATAAAGGTATTAAAAATTACAAAACCCTGGTCTCTGTTCTCAAAATGTTTGGGTAACAAAACGATGTGTGAAAAGCATTCTATAATATGGCAGTTTCTGTGCAAAATACTGGGGTGTGGTTTAGGAGAATGATTTAGTTTGGTGAATGATGAAAATGACACCATTTCTAGTAATTCTTGAATTTTTTTAACATCCATGACTGGTAAAATCATCTAGCCTTCAAATTTGATTCTAATATACATTCTCCACATCTTCACCAACACTTGTTGATGATAGTCAATCTGACAGGTATGAAGTGATACTGTGGTTTCAATTTGATGACAGTGAGCATCATTTCATGTACCTCTTGGCCATCTGTATGTCGTCTTTGGAAAAATATCCAAGTCCTCTGCCCATTTTTTTAATTGGGTTGTTTTTTTTTGATACAAGTTGTGTAAGTTCTTCATACATTTTGGATATTAACCCCTTATCAGATGTATGATGTGCAAGTATCATCTCCCACTAAGTGGGTTGCCTTTTCATTTTGTTGATGGGTTTCCTTTGCTGTGCAAAACTTGTAGTTTGATATGATCCTGCTTGTTATTTTAGCTTTTATTGCCCTTGCCTGAGGAGAGTGGTCCAAAAACCTATTTCTAAGACCAGTGTCAAAGACCTTACTGCCTATCGTTTCTTCTAGGAGGTTATGGTTTTAGGTCTCATATTCAAGTCTTTAATCCATTTGAATTTATTTTTGTATACAGTATAAGATAGTGATCCAGTTTTCCCAATACCATTTATTGAGATATTGTACATCCTTGGCTCCTTTGTCATAGATTAATTGAGCATATATGCCTGGATTCATTCCTGGGCTCTTTATTCTGTTCCATTAATCTATATGTCTGTTTTTATGCCAGTATCATACTGTTTTAATTACTAGAGTTTTATAGTAAGTTTTGAAATCAGCACAGTGCCTCCAGCTTTCTTGTTTCTCAAGATTGCTTTGGCTATTGGAGGGTCTTTTGTGATTCCATACAAATCTTAGGATGATTTATTCTAGTTCTGTAAAAAAAAAAACAACAAAAAAATGCAGTTGGTATTTTGTTAGGGATTGCATTGAATCTATAGATTGCTTTGGGTAGTGTGAGCGTTTTAACAATATCAGTTCTTCCACGAGCATGGTATTTGTCATCTTCAGTTTCTTTCATCAGTGTCTTATAGTTTTCACAGCATAGTTGTCACTTCCTTAAATTTATTCCCCGGTATTTTCTTCTTTTTGATGCAATTATAGATGGGATTATTTTCTCAACTTTTTTCCTAATAGCTCCTTATTAGTGTATAGAACTACAACTGATTTCTATATGTTAATTTTGTATACAGTTTTTTTTTTTTAAGACTTATTTAGCGGGGAGGGACAGAAGGAGAGGGAGAGAATCTCAAGCAGGCTCCCCGCTGAGTGTGGAGCCTGATGCGGGGCTCAGTCCCACAAACCTGAGATCGTGATCTGAGCTGAAATCAAGAGTTGGATGCTTAACCAACTGAGCCACCCAGGCGCCCCTGTCTACAACTTCTTAACTGAATTCATTTATAGTTATGATAGTGTTTTGTGGAGCCTTTAGGGTTTTTTATGTATAGTATGTCAACTGCAAATAGTGAGTTTTACTACTTTTCCTATTTGGATGCCTTTTCTTTTTCCTTCCTAATTGCTTTAGCTACACTTCCCAATACTATGTTGAATAAAAGTGGTGAGAGTGGGCATCCCTGTCTTAATCTTAGGGGGAAAGCTTTCAACCTTTCAACATTGAGGATGAGGTTATCTGTGGGTTTGTCATACGTGGCCTTTATTATGTTCAGATATGTTCCTTCTACGCCCACTTTGTTTTTATCATAAATGGGTATCAAATTTTGTCACTTTTTTTTCTGCATCTGTTGAGATAATCATATAATTTTTATCGTTTTATTAATGTGGTATGTCACCTTGATTTGCAGGTATCAAACCATCCTTGCATCCCTGGAATAAATCCCATTTGATTGTGGTGTATGACCCTTTTAACATGCTAAATTCTGTTTGCTAATACTTTGTTGACGATTTTTGCATCTATGTGCATTGGGGATATTGACCTGTAATTTTCTCTTTGTATGGTTTGTCTTTCAGTATCAGGGCAATGCTGGCCCCTGTAGTCTTTATTATTTCCTTCCTTCTGCTAACTTTGGATATAAAGTTAGGTTGTTTATTTGGGATTTTTTTCTTGAGGTAAGCTGCTTTTGCCATGAACTTCCCCCTTGTGAACTGCTTTTTGCTGCATTCTATGGCTTTTGTAAAGTTGTTTCAGTTTTGTCTCAAAGTGTTTTTTTCTCTTTGATTTCTTCATTGACTTATTGTTTAATAACATGTTTAGTCTTCATGTGTTTTGTGTTTTTACCACTTCTTGTAACTGATTTCTTTCTAGTTTCATACTGTTGTGGTCAGAAAAGAGATGCTGAATATTTCAATCTTCTTGAATTTATTGAAACTTGTTTTGTGGCCTAATGTGATCTCTCCTGGAGAATGTTGTTTACACTTGAAAAGAATCTGTGTTCTGTAGCTTGGAGGAATGGAATGTTTTGTATGTATCAAGTCCATCTGGTCTAATATGTCATTTAAGGCCAATGTTTCCTTATTCTCTCTCTGGATGATCTATCCATTGAAGTACGCAGGGTATTAAATGGCTCCTACTATTAAAGTATTACTGTCACTTTATGTCTGTATATGTTAATATTTTGCTTTATGTATTTACATGCTCCTATGTTGGCTGCATAGATATTTACAAATGTTAGATCCTCTTCTTGGATCAACCCTTTTATCATTGTGTAATGCCCTTGTCTTTTGTTACAGTCTTGGTCTATTTTGTTTTTTTAAAGATTTTATTTATTTGAGAGAGCAGGCATGAATAGGGGGATGAGCAGAGGGAGAGGGACAAGCTGACTCCATGCTGAGCATGGAGCCCAATGCAGGGCTCCATCTCAGGACCCCAACATCATGACCAGAGTCAAAATCAAGAGTCAAACACTTAAACTGAGCCACCCACATGTGCCCAGTCTTTGTCTGTTTTGTGTGATATGTGTATTGTTACACCAGCTTTCTTACTGTTTCTATTTGCATGGAGTAACTTTCTTCATCCCTTCACTTCCAATAGATGCATCTTTAGAACTCAAATGAGTCTCTTGTAAGGCAGCATATAGAATCCATTCAGCCACCCCACCCCCTCCCTATGTCTTTTGATTGAAGCATTGAGTTCATTTTTTTCCCCAAATCAAATGCAACATTTATTAATAATATATTAGCTACATTTTTTGCTAACAGTCAATGGGTCAAATGAACAAACTGATAACAAGTGAACCTCATTTTAGTCAAAAATCTAATGCACTCCCAGCGAAGGCCGACATTGTTTTGGAAAATACCGTGTGTTTGGAGGATAGAGTATCCTCCATGCTTTTCATCTTTCAAAACTACTTCCTAACGGAATTTAAGAGATTCTGGGATGCAACTTCTAGACACCAAAGAAATTAGCATTCTTACTGTTTTAGGTTTTAAGTTCATGGCATTTAACGTAATTATTGATGAATAATATGTACTTATTGCCTTGTTCATTGTTTCTGGTTTTGTAGTTCTGTTCCTTTCTTCTCTTGGTCTCTTCCCTTTTGGTTTGACCATTTTCTGTTATGTTTGGGTTCCTTTCTCTTTTTTGTGCGTCTGGTGTAGGTTTGGTTTGTGGTTACCATGAAGTTTCTATATCTTGACCTATATACATACTAGTCTATTTTAAGATGATAATTAATTTCAAACACATCTGAAAAGCACTAATTTTTACTCCCTACCCCCACATCTTATGTTTTTGACATCTGACATTTTTGTATATCCCTTAAATTACTGTTTATTGTAGTTACAGTTGATTTTACTAGTTTTGTTCATACTAACTTTTTAGGTATCTGCTTCACTGCCTTTACTATATATTTCCTTTATCAATGACTTTTTCCTTTCATATATTATTTCTAGTTATGGACTTTTCCACTTAAAGAAGACGGTTAAAATTTCTTGTAAGGCTGGTTTACTGGTGATGCACCTTATGCTTTTACTTGTCTGGGAAACTATCTTTAATTCTGAATGTTACCCTTGCAGGATAAAGTATTCATAGTTTTAAGTTTTTCCCTTTCGGCATTTCAAGTATATCCAGCCACTCCTTTCTGCCAGCCCAATATCTGCTGGAAAATCAACTGATAGTCTTATGGGGGTTTCCCATGTATGTGACTTTCCTTTTCTCTTGCTGCCTTTAAGATTTTCTCTTTACCTTTTGCCATTTTAATTATAATACATCTTGGTGTGGCTCTCGTTGCAGGCTGTTTCCTGGGTATCTGTTTCCCTTACCCAGATTATCAATCAATGTTTTCAGCTATTGGTTCTTCAAGTAAATTAGCTTCCTTTCTCTCTTCTCCTTCTGGGACCCCTTATAATGTGCATGTTAGTACACTCTGTCCTCCCAGTGGTTCCTTAACCGAGCCTCACTTCATTTTTCTTCCCCGTTTGGCTTGGATTCTTTACTCCTCCAGACTGCTGATCCTTTCTTTTGCATCCTCTAATCTGCTGTTAATTCCACCTAGTGTATTTTTCATTTATTCATCTCTAATTGATTCTATTTTCTCTCCTTTTGCTGAAGTTCTCCCTGAGTTAATCCACTCTTCTCTCAAGGCTAATGAATGTATTTATGGTCATTACTTTGAACTCTTTACAGGTAGCATGCTTATCTCCATTTAGTTTAGTTCTTTTTCTGAGGTTTTGTCCTATTCTTTTGTTTGCAACATATTCTTCTTGTTTGCCTTTCTTTCTTTTGTTTCTGTAAAATAGGCAACAGCTACCTCTCCCAGTCTTGAAGGAGTGGCCCTGTGAAGGAATGCCCCATGTAGACTGCGGGTGCCTGACAGCTTTGGATGGTGAGCTGAAATGGGAGCAGGCATAGGCCAGGGGTATCCTATGCACACTATGCTAGGGCCACCTTTGGAGGGGAATGGCTAGAGCTGGTGGGGGCCTGAGGCTCACTGGGGTGGCCCCACGGACTCTGCTCCAGTCTGCACTATCAAGATGGAGGGGGAACATAGACAATGGTAATCAGCAGTGCTTTCCACCTGAGTCCCAGCAGTTTCTCCACCATTCGTCTGACACTGCGGTTAGTAAAGGGATCTCCTTCACTCATAGGCTAATTGCCCCTTAAACCAGTTTTTCTGCTGTGCCCCAGGGTGGACAAGTCTGCACACAGGCTCCTCCAGGCTATCCGTCCTTACGTAGTTTGCTGCATTGGTGGTGGGGTTCCTGTCATTACTGTTTCTCGCCTGCCTTTCTCTGTGTGGTCCCTCTCTCTTTTGTTGTACAGAAGCTGTTCAGTCAGCCCTCAGTTCTTCAAGAGTTCTTCAAGAGCAATTGCTTTATATGTAGATTTGAGTTTAGCAGCTCCCTACAACTCTGTCCTGGACTACCTCCCAAAAGTTTACTTCTGTCTGCCCGATTTTATCCCCCAGAGAAAACTTCTAACTTTGGAGA